ATGAGACATGGCTTTGGAAGCTGATCATATAGATTTTGAAGTTCTGATTGTCGAATGTAAGGATATACAAGCTGCACAGAGTCAGTGCAATGTGCAGGGTCAGACGAACAGCGACGGTCTGAAGATTGGTATTAAGAGATACAGGGCTATGAATAGTACCCTGCCGCACCAAAATGGAAGCACCCCATTTGCTTTATCTCCCGGAGGAGAAAAGGAGTGATAATCTGTATACGGTCTTATATTAAAGTTATCAGTCTCTTGAAGACATAATGCTGACGGTTTACAATCTTGTATCAACAAGTGGATCTCATTAAAGTTATTCTTCAATCCTCTGCAATTCCACTGCAGTAAAGTCGCCAACTGAGTCATGGTGCCTCAATTGGCGATCGTTCTCGTGAATGTGAGGAGGAACTATTCCTCCATCTGTCTTGTGTAGACAGGGTTATCTATATATCTAGAGGCCCAAAAGAGTTTTCTAGAGGAACCTCTGGAAGGGAAGGGTTGGTAGGGGTTGGTTTTCTGTTTAATTTCTTTTCTTTCCTTTTCTTTGTACTGGCGTTTGAAGTTGAAGGTGGGAAGAAGGTGGTTCAGATGATGTGCCAGGAAAAGTGGTGTGTTTGGCAAAAGGAACACGGTTCCAGACTCCCGTCCTCCACCGACACAGAGGCGCAACCCATGGCAAACAGGTTGGTGTACCAAATATACCCCCGGGTCCACATGTGGGGTTGTAGAGCTCTTAGCGTTACCCTACACCCACCACGACGAGGTGGCTCTTCACGGGTGCCCGCTAAACAGATCAAACGAACGATCATATATGTTCTCATCACAGGGCCGGGTATATATATCTGTGCACTTGTAGACTTTTGTCAATGTTAGCAACAAACTCTACCGTTTTACATGTCGTTGATCACATGAAATCAACCTTTTATAAACAAATTAGTAGTCAACAATTACAAGTACCTTCTTCACAGTTGTTTTGTGCATTAAATTTCACAATCTCTTCTGTGCAAATTCGCCCGTTTTGAACATTCCACGAACTCAAGCATACTCCTCACATGCCTAATGCATTACCCGTAAGTCTAAAAGATTCTTTTGCATGTGACCCGTGAAGGTCCGGGTTAGAATGAATCTTCAGTAACCCATGCTTGTCGTAAGAGGCGACTAACGGGATCGGGTGGTCAGGCTCGCTAGCTTGGTTGACACATGTCATCGGTTCCTATTTCGATGCTCATGCTGTTGATCACTGGACTGTCTTGTCCAGACTCGATTATTTCCAGACCGCCGCCATATAGCTGGAATATTGCTGAGTGCGGCCTAAACCTCACTCACTTTTTTACATGATTTTTACATATCAAAAAGATGCAGAAAATCCTAGGATATGCGTTCTTTCATATTTGTCGATATCGTTTCATATTTCTTCTACCCTTTCTTCCAAATGTTGTAGCGGTCCAATAAGCTGAGGCAATGGCTGATGTCGTTAACAGGACTTGGGTTATATTATAGGCCAGAATTTTATGGATGTCAGTTTCTCTAACTCTTTCCATTCGAGAGACGAGATATCACGTCTGAAGGGTAAGAACCCGTCATTACGAATCTATTTGTAGCAACATGACACTTACATACGAGGGAAGTGACATCACATCTACATGGTTGCAACGGTTGACATAGACTATACATGACTAACATAACATCAGAATCCATACAAACTGAATATGTTTTTTCAAAACATGTTAATTCACTTTCATTAAAATATTTCAGACCAAAGGAGAAAAACGTTAGGTCTTTTTAGCACAGGAAAGGAGAAACGTATTGAACTAACACAGCATTGTGATAATTTTGATAATTTCTTTCAATCCAGTGACTACACCACGGTGGGAGAATAGCTACAATTTAGTAGTTTTATGCCATCACTTAGAATTATAGAGTCAAAGAAAATTGTTAACAATCAACTCCAAAGCCTAATTCCTGAACATCTATAACTTGGAATATTCCTGTTTCTTGTGGTACAATGGCAGATAGAACTTGGCTTTAAGTCACTACGATTTTCGACGACCAGCAATTTTAACACCATGTGGTCACCGAATGTCAAGGTCATATAGTACGTTGTTTTCACCAGGGGAGAAACAGCAGTTAACAAGCATGTATGATGCGGTGACAATGGTGGCAGTTAAGAAGCATGTATGGTGAGGTGACTATGGTGGCAGCTAACAAGCATGTATGATGAGGTGACAATGGTGGCAGTTAACAAACGCGTATGATGAGGTTACTATGGTGGCAGTTAACAAACACGTATGGTTAGGTGACAATGGTGGCAGTTAAGAAGCATGTATGGTGAGGTGACTATGGTGGCAGTTAACAAACGCGTATTATGAGGTTACTATGGTGGCAGTTAACAAACACGTATTATGAGGTTACTATGGTGGCAGTTAACAAACACGTATGATGAGGTGACAATGGTGGCAGTTAACAAGCATGTATGGTGAGGTGACTATGGTGGCAGCTAACAAGCATGTATGATGAGGTGACAATGGTGGCAGTTAACAAACGCGTATGATGAGGTTACTATGGTGGCAGTTAACAAACACGTATGGTTAGGTGACAATGGTGGCAGTTAAGAAGCATGTATGGTGAGGTGACTATGGTGGCAGTTAACAAACGCGTATGATGAGGTTACTATGGTGGCAGTTAACAAACACGTATGATGAGGTTACTATGGTGGCAGTTAACAAACACGTATGATGAGGTTACTATGATGGCAGTTAACAAGCATGTATGGTTAGGTGACAATGGTGGCAGTTAACAAGCATGTATGATGAGGTGACAATGGTGGCAGTTAACAAACGCGTATGATGAGGTTACTATGGTGGCAGTTAACAAACACGTATATGAGGTTACTATGGTGGCAGCTAACAACATGTATGGTGTGTGGGCAGTTAACAAGCATGTATGATGAGGTGACAATGGTGGCAGTTAACAAGCGCGTATGATGAGGTTACTATGGTGGCAGTTAACAAACGCGTATGATGAGGTTACTATGATGGCAGTTAACAAGCACGTATGATGAGGTTACTATGGTGGCAGTTAACAAGCATGTATGACTATGGTGGCAGTTAACAAACGCGTTATGAGGTTACTATGGTGGCAGTTAACAAGCACGTATGGTGAGGTGACTATGGTTAACAAACGCGTATGATGAGGTTACTATGGTGGCAGTTAACAAACACGTATGATGAGATTACTATGATGGCAGTTAACAAGCATGTATGGTTAGGTGACAATGGTGGCAGTCAACAAGCATGTAACATGTTAACCACCTTTATGGCACTTGTAACAGACTGAAAGATATCAATCTACAGACTTCGCTATCAAACACAGAAAAATCTTCAAGAGTAGCTATTGAAAACATTTTAAACAACCCTGAACTGAAATATGACTTCAAAATTTCAAACCACTACCTACCAGTTGAAATAGGACGATGGATTAACAACCCTACCCCTGTAAAGCAAACGATGTTGGAGATGAATTTCACTTTTGGTTTATTTGCCCTACTTTGGACCTAGAAGAAAGGAAATCGTATATCAACAACTGTTTCTGTAGGATCCCGGATATACACAAAGTGAACCAGCTTTTTCAATCTAACACACTTTTGGAAATTAGCACACTTTTGGAAATTAGCAATATCTTGCAAAATAATGATGTCTCATTTTAAGCAACGAGTGTACGCATGAGTGTAACATTCTTCATTTAACTAGTTAATTGCATGTACATTTACATTTATTCTTGCAAACCAAGCGGAATGTATATATGACCACTTTGTGAGTGAGTGAGTTATATTTAACGTCACATCGGCAATATTTCAGCCATATCGTGACGAGAACATATGTGACATTGAAATGGAATATATGTATATTATAAAAACCTGTCGACGAAGGACAGTAAAACAACTAGAATATCACAATTATAACTATAACTAGGGTTGAAAATTTATACTAATAGCACTATTTGGACAATACAATATAAAAACTGGCTATAGATCGCCAACAACTGAGGGTAGATCACCAAACCAGGGACCATCCATGGGGACTTACAGTACTTTAACTACCTGCATGAACCCTAGTTGGATTTATTTCATCCCTTCAACCGCTGGCGATTGAAGTCAAATTTAGCCAAAATTAAAATGACAAGAATACAACATTTAAAACAGCTGGTAAATTTAAATTTCCTTTGAATGTTTCAGGACTTACGTACCCTCTCAGAAGGACAATAATTTTATGCTACTTCAACCCCCTTTGAGGGTACAGCAACTAACAGTCTCAGTTACTAATCTAAACTACCAATAATAAAATTATCTATTTACAAATCAGTTAAAAAGTCTAATTCTTTTGAAAATGCAATAATTAAATGAGAACTTATATTACTACAAAGATCCTTCTTAGTTTGTGATTTGAAATAGATATCCCTTGTGATGGAATATTCAACACAGTCAAGCAGGACATGTGACCACTTTGTGTTTCACACATATGTGTAAATAACACATATAAGTTGTCGGTTCTGATGTAAACGTGTACCCCTAATGCCAGAGAACGCGTCTGGAGTGTAAAAAGTAAAGTTTAGTTCAGTCAGTCGCCCAAAACACCGTCAACACCACCACAACCATCCTTCGTTGGCGCACTTGTAATTTTACGGGCACCTCAATCAATTTCTGCCACTCACCATCAACACAATTGCCAGGTTTCTGACAATGAGCTGATGGAAACATGAGTAGGTATTTCTGTTTTCCATAATATTCCCGACGAACATGTACTTTAATCCGTGTAAATGTGATATTGAATAAACTGTTTGCACTATGAGAAAGATACATTCAGAACACCATCAAATAGCGACGTCGCAGGTGTGTGTGTGTGTGTGTGTGTGTGTGTTTATTATCTTACCTGTCTACCGATCATGTTATTGTTTCTTTTCTAACAAACGTCCTCTCTGATATGTGAACATAAGATCTGTTTCATTTACGAATCTATATTTATTGACGTATTAAGCTACACAGAAAATCGCACTCCTCCTGATGTTTGAAGAAAGAGCAGAGACAAATATTATGAAATTCATCGCTAACATCACACGTGTAACAGAGGTTACCCATTCCTTCTTCGTGTTGATTTTTGTGCCACCTACCTAATTCTATAGGTGAACAATAGCAGGAAGTTCTAAACAAGAGATATCATATGATTACAGAGCATTGAGCTTTGTCCTTGAACAAATTAACGAGCATGTAAACAACAACTACCAGTGTCATTTAAACGGACACTCACTCTGAATTTCAAACACGGAAACTGATTAAATTGAAAATATTAATCTGTAACAACACAGAAAGAAAAATGCCTGAAAATCAAATGACTGTAAAGGACGCATTATACTATTTTCAAAATATAGGATTGGGGTAAATTTAGCCCCATTATTTATATACACTGCACAGTAACTAGACATAAGATATAAACTGCGATTGATCTCTGTATGGCAATCGGTCCTGGGAAGACTGGAGACTGGATATCGTTGTGTGCCTGATGGCTTCTGTTATTTTTTTGTTATAAGTGGCTGTTTGGCTCCGGTGGCTCGCCCCAGCATATGTCGCACAAAGAGGCCTATGAATGTTAGTAGTGCAATTCCGCCCGCAACAGAACACCCAACAATAACCCCAAGTATCGAGAAGCCAGTATCTGTGGAGATAATGAAATGAACAGGTTTTGAATTTTGGCATCAAAGTAAAACATAAACATGTTAAGATGTTTAATCGCAAACATTCACACATTTGAGCAAGGAAACTAAATGCACGGAAATGTTCAGTAATTATAAAACAGGAACATTTTAATTGATACTGACCGATTCCCCTAAGTTCTATAACATAGCGGATCTTGAATCCTCTGCCGAGATTGTGAGTTGAATTAGACTTGAATTTCAGGAACATTGTAGAAGCAGAGCCGGTTTTGGTTGGTGTATTTTCCCCGCACCAGCGGCCAAGAGAGGGGGCATTCGAGTCCGAGCCTACACAAACAGATTGACACAACAAATATTTTTAGAATTCTTTTGAATGCATCGTTAAATCACAGCGGGTCAGTGTAATGAAAGCCAGAAGTGAACAAAAACACTTCAGTCTTAAACGCAAAGCATGTTAAACGAGACGACTGGGCTACTATCAAAGTGCAGTGCATTAATACTCCATACTGACAAAATGGCGAACCTTACTATTGCCTATGCTTAACACCGGTTTCAATAGAAAACAAATTTCTTGTGCACGAACCCAGAGTCAATATTGTCAAACTTTATGGAGAAAAATTCTGTTTCGTGAGTGCGACGTTTCGCCACAGAGTTTTGTATCGTTGTGAAGCAGGAATGTAACATGAAGTAAGAGGATGTACATAGACTGAGTGTAATAAAGAAAACAACATAATCACATAATTGGCTAGTCATGAATCTGATAAAGGCAGATATTACAAACGAATTAAAGGGGTAGTTTAGAAAGGAGGGAAGGTTTATATAGTTGAGTGCATCTACATATTCTTTATTTCGGTACAGTAGTGTGGGCCATCAGCCTTGTGTACAATATGGTCCATATACGGTGATGCATTACAAAGTTCTTATACAAGTACATAAAGGCGGATAGTTAGAGCATGGGTGATACACCAAGTCAATATCCAGTGATACATAGTTTTACAAGGTAATTAATCAAGTACATCAATGCATATAAGGTGTTATAGTCCATATATGGACATACTATAAAATTCGCGGAGAACTTATACAAGTGTATCAAGACATAGAAGATATAACAACCCATATACAGTGATGCATAATTATACAAGGTACTATACAAGTACATCAAGGTAAGGGAGATATAACATTCCATATACAGTGTTATATAAGGTACTTGTACAGGAGCTTTAAGGCGGAGATTCGTGGCATGGAAAACAGTCCATATCCATTGATACAATAGTTTTATAGAGAGCTTATGACGGTCCATAGTTTTACAAAGTACTTATACAGGTGTATCAAGGTATGAGACAATACAGTGATACATAATTTTACACAGTACCTATACAAGCTCTTTATGGCGGATATTTGCGGCATGGAAAATATAACAGTCCACCTCCAGTGATACATAGCTTTACAAGGCACTTATACAAGTGCATCAAATCACTTATACATGTACATCAAGGCATGGAAGATATAACAGTCCCTATACGGTGATGCATAGATTTTAGAAAGTACTTATACAAATGATTCAAGGCATAGAAGACATAGCAACCCATATGCAGTGAAACGTAAATTTACAAGATCTTTATGGTGGAAATTTGAGGCATGGAAGATATAACAGTCCATATAAAGTGATACATAATTTTACAAGGTACTTCATAGAAAGTGATACATAATTTTACAAGGAACTAATGCTACACGAGAGCTTTAAGGCTGAGATTTGAGGCATGGAAGATATAACAGGCTAGGTTTCTATATTCTTGTTGCGAAGACATAAGTAAACTGAACTTAGCCAGAATTGGAAAGTCAAAAATTTGAAAGGGATATATCTCAGGCGGAGACTATAATAGACTTCACAGGCCAACACAATTTTTTTTTTGTCTCTACGAGTCCGGACTTGCAGACTTTGTATCATAAACGGATGGAATTCAATATCCTTGATCTCGATTGATGTTGGGCGTTTGACGTGAATTGCTTAGGTGAGTTTGTGTTCGGCGAAGTCCGTTTGATGGCTGGAAAGGCTGGTGATGTCAGACCAGTTTATTTGGTGATTGGGGTATGATTTGATGAGATCAGAGGTGGTTGATGTGAACACTGATGTTCTTTCACTCGGGAATTGATGGATCTGGATGTTTCGCATATGCAGCACTGTCCACAATCCCAGTTTATTTTATAAATGAGACATTTCGGGATGTTGTTGTTGATGGTTGGTGCCTTGTGGGTTGTTGTTGTTACAGTTGGCGATTAAGCCAAGATTGACGGACCGTCACGTTACTGCAGGACATTGGTTTGAAGAGCGGCAGCGATGACTAATCGTTGTTGGTCAAATGTTATGTTTAGGTATCAAACAGGGTTTGCTTTGGACAGGCGCAACAGAGTGTAACGTAGACTGAATGAAAGTTTTCATGCCGTTTACGTCTGACAGACTGATCGTGTTAAGAGGTGGCACAATAATGGTGTGGGGGTGGAATCACTGTGACTGGCAGAACACCTTTCAATTTATTCATGGACGGGTCACTGAAGAGTACTGCTCTGACAGCATCCCGATGGCCTACGTGGTGTCATTTGCGTGTCGACAGCGACCTTGTTCTGTGTTTCAGGAAGGCAAGGTAAGAGCACGTATTATAACCGAGTACCTCCATGGGAAACCAAAACCACCTTACCATGGCAAGTACTCAGTACAGACTTGTCCCCCATTGGACATGTCTGAGGACAGCGCGGACGTTTGATTAGAAGAATGTCTGGTACGGGGATTGTCTTTGGACTAGAGACGCATTGACGTTTCGTTTACTGTAAAACTTTATTAAAGTTTAAAGATTAGAATATGACATGTCAATAGTTGTGACTACTGTTTTTCACCTATTCCTTAAAAAGTATATATTGACAAATGTACATTGAATTGAAGTCACAAAATCATGGATATGACTGTTGGTTACCATATTGCCATGCCACGTTGTATGTATGACCAAACAATTCATGCACGTTATGGGAAGCTAAAAAAGTTATGGAAAATATGAATATTGGTTGCGATGTTGACAAGAATGTATGCACGCTATGTAATATGTATATGTACACTTTGAAAAGTGAATGATAAATTATACCATCAAAGGCTTCCACGTAGTCATTGTCACAACCATCAGAATTGTCTAGGGTTGAGTTCAAAACGGTGATTTTGATCTTCCAGTTGTCCAGATCACCCCCTTCAATCTTCCACGTGGACTCCGTGATTCTAGAACAAATACTGTGATGTACTCATTGTTTCATGCAAAGTTCAGAATGTGACAACTGTTATTTGAAATTCCTAGTAATAATTATCAGAGATTAGCGGTACATCTGAAACTGGAGGCAGCTGTAGGAAGCTTATGAATTATTTTACATCATCACCAAATCAAACATGAAGTGTTAGAAAGGTACTTGGTAACAAGGTTGTTCTCAAAATAACTTTTTTCTGTTGACAGATCCGAAGGCAATGACAAAAAGGATTTATACAAAGAAGGTGATTTTATTGTTCTAATGTCACAAATCATGCAGTTAGTTCATAGCATATGACATGGAGTCACACACATATGCATGTACTCCTTAATAACATATATGCAGCTACATTAAGCAGATATATCAATTTGAATGTTTGACAAGATTGAATCTTAATCACTGCGTAATTATCAAATTTACGTATCGACAGATGTCTTTCCCCAAAGTGATGTGTTCCAAGAGAACAATGTCTGGGTCCACACTGCTTGAAAACTCCAGTATGACCTCAACATTAGGTATTTACCTGTGTAGCTGCAGCTGGCTTAATATTAATACTCCCCTTAAGTTTCACTCTGGAGTGAATCTGTCCCAGGATAGAATCAATCTAGATCCTAGGACTGACTCACTCCATAGTGAAATTATCCCAGGGGCAGATCACTACCCACTGGAGATCAAAACACTCAGTTCAGGATGAAATCAATCCCATTTATGATATCAAATGACTACCTCCACAAAATGCTAAATATATATACATATATATATCTTTTGGGAAAAACTGTCAGTCAAAGGTCTGAGCTGAACAGGTATATCTTTATAACAACTACATTTTTCAAATGGTATACTTTGGGAGATCGACTTCTACCACAGGGGTAAACTAAGGCCTGAATTATTCAGCAAATCAACAGAAATTACGTGGAAACCCCATCACGACATGTGCATCACTAATGGAAGATATACGTGCATATGGATTAAATACCCTTTGATAACCTTTGATTCTAGCCCTAAATTGGGGCTCTGTTCATTTACCTAACAACTGTTCAATGTAAGTACTCTGAATATTTGTATCATTGACCTGGGCGACCTCTTTGACGTAGAACAGATCTCGGGTTCATCTTGACAAAGCCCAATCCTGTTGATTAACGTATAGCAACTGCAAGGTGTGGTATTGGAAGAATAAGACCGTTCAAGAGATTTTCGCCATCGATGAGTAATATCCATGCCTATCTAGACGTACATTGAGTTCAAATGTATTATTTTGGTGCAATGGCAGGTCCATGGAAGCGTTCACAAGCTTAATGATAAGACTTCATAACTCTTTTTCTGAAACGTGGAAGTTATGACCCTAGATGTGTGATGTTCCAAGAATGTGCATTTTGGCTTTCATGTACTACAGAAGAATAAACTTGCAATTTTAAATTTAACATTTTCTCGTATTATTTTTATGGGTAGTCCAAGTCGATTTATACTTCTATTTGGTCCATAGTTGATATCAATCCATGACGAGGTGTCAGTGTAAGGTGGTTTCATTATCACTAAGGTTTCTTCAGCTGTGTTTAAAGTTCATCTTTGACAGAACCTCGTTTAATACATACCTTGGGCAATCAAATGGATAGTTTGGCGACGTAAGATATTCATCCAAAACCGAAGCTGAGAGAATCTTGTTTGAGGACACTGAAATCAAAATATGTTAAAGCTGAAATAACGAAGATATAAACTGTATGTAAAACTGCGCACGTCATTCTGATATCGTTGTGATCACTTCCTCCCCTTGCCACAGACTGAAACAGTTTACAGATTCTGTCCTGTGGAATACTCTATCATTCTTCCTACAAGGCTTTGGCCAGTTTTGCAAGCATCTGGTGCGCATCTTGATTTTGATCTTGAGGTACACCTCTATCAAGTTCGTACAACAGATACTCTGTCAGATTCAAATCTGGAGATCAAAGACACTGGCGTTTGGAAGAAGATGACGTTGAAGAATTTAATATTCGATATACCGGTATGCTGTCAGAGTGCCCCCTCACCCATCGCATACGCAGATCTCCGTATGTATAATATTGTTCATCATACCATCACGGTTCCGCCAACGAATCTGTAGAACGTAACTTCGACGTCGGTAGACATGCGTTGAAGAAGAATTCGTGATTCATTACTCAACCAGACTCACCGCCAGTTCACGCGTGTACAGTATTATACCATCTGCAAATGTCTGAGTACAAACGTTTAGAACGGTTGATTTTGTACACTCCACCAGCTACCGAGCATGTGAATATTGCGTTTGTGAATGAACAATGTTTTCAACGAATGTAATTCACCACTTTCTTCCAAATACCCATTACGAGAAAGACATGGCGTCATAACAATACATTTCTTCATTAAAACGAAAGTACAGATGAATCGTGGAAGTTAAGATTGTAGGAGATTTAGGAGTCCAACGAGCTAGTGGTGATGCTGGTGGTGCTTATGGTTAACTTGGTCGAGATATGAGGTCTACTTTCGCCAAACACATAAAATGATGCTATGCAATCATGAATACAACGTATACTACAATATATGTACCATGCATAAAATTGTTGTACATTGTACTCGGCTTCTCTTTGAATTAGGATACACAGTTTAAGGAAAGGAATCAAAACATTAAAAAAAATGTTGTTTTTTGAAATAAAAGAAACCAAAACTTTGTTTGGGATAAGAAGCAAACAAAATTTTGCTTTGGAAAAAAGCAAAGAAAACGGAAAAAGCAAAGTGTCAAACATTTCACTTTCGTCTGTGTTCTAACTATAACCTGATATGCTGTCATGAAAGTGAAATGTTCTAAGTGTCGATATGATATTGTTTTCAGTTTAAAGCGTTTTACATTACCAGGGAAGTGTCCAGCCTTCATATAGATTTGTAATCCTTCGTATCGGTCGGTTCCGCCGGAGTTCATTCTGGCGGTGATGGTATTTCCCGAACTGATGTATTGACTGTCATGTCTACCACACCACCTCCCTGGAGTAGTGGAGCCATCATTGTTACCTGGATGCATGGAAGAATAAGTACAAATAATAACATTAAGGATAAGAGATGCAGATCCAACTGGAACATTCTAATGTTAATACTCGGTACTTATTACTATTAACGTGTATTCCAGGTACACACAACTCCTATAAAATGGTAAATTACAAGGAGGTGTAAAACAATGTCCTAGGCATAGTGTACACTCTCGTTTTCAATTCTGCGTTGTTGATATCAAGTGAGATGTTTTGACATCTTAATGGCACATTTGTGTAACAACAAAAGCCAACGTTAATTTTAACAGACACAAAGGAAATTGTTAATGCTGAATTCTTTATCAAGAATGAAAACGTTTAATATCGAAAGGCGCTGGTTGCTTGCAAATGAGAGCGTCATTCTCACATATAAACCTCACCATCGTAGAGTTCCAGGTAGCCCATATCGCATTTTGATGATGCAGGCGGGAAGATTATTTTCACGTTAGTGATATTAACCTGGATGTTTGTGCCTGTTGGTGCGCGTATAGTCCAGCGGCAGTCTTGTGAACTGCAATTTTTAGACATTTAGACATTTAGACGTTTTGCGCTTTGTTTAGTATGTTTTATATCTAAAACTAATATGGCGTTGTATCATTAACGTATTTTCACAGAGATTTCGTATAATCATAGAAATGTTTCTGTGGCTTTTCACGCCTAGCAAACTGGACAACGAAGGGTTCGAGAATGTAGTCCCGGTAGCACTCCAAAGGTATCCTTCGTTTCAGACTAGGAGCAGAGATCTCGCATAGACCCGGGAGCCTGATGAAGGTTTGTAGCAATCTTTTTCAATACTAGCAATATTTCGTTTTGCTTCGAATCAATCGATCCTGATGTACTTTATATCACGTGAATACACACAACGAGGGCGATCGTAAACATACTGGGTCCTTTGGTGCCTGGTTCGTAGTCTGCTAGTCACAGACCGTGAAACATTGAACGTATTGGCCACTGCACGTTGACACCAGCCAGTTTCAGCATATCAATAGTCCAGAATCCATTTACCCCTAGAGAAGTTACGAGTTTCACATCGGTCCTTGCTGGGAATAAGTAGATTTTGGCGTATTCAGGTCACGAGTTACTGACTGACTTCCAGTCAAAGTGTATCACTCGATAAACATCCTATATACTGTACTACTTCTGTCATATACCCAATCGATATATCGGTCATGATTGAACACCAAACCATGAACAAACCTTGAAATACATGACACCCTATTTATACAGAATCAAAACTTCCACATTAATTTTATTTCAATGTTATATGAACTACAAGTACACAATGTCATGGTCTTACTTTAGAAATGGCCCTGCCAAGATTGTATCTTCATTTGTGGTAACGTTGACTATTCCTCCGCACCTGAATGTCTCTGAAAGAACATCACAACGCATAAGTTCATTGGTGAAGCCATTTAATTTTGAAGTGTGTATCAATATCACCGTGCGTATGTATTGAATAATGTAATTACTCATACACACCAACGAGAACAAGTTTGAAAACGATGAATTGTTTTCTTTGGGATTATCATTATGAAAATATACTGAATAATATGTGATCAAAATAACTGATGTCATCATATTGAATGGTGCTTGAATGTGATCATTAATTGTAAATAGCATTTGTGACTAGTCATGGGCACAAACGTACATTTCTTACCATTAGTTTCAACATATTTCAGTTTGAAGCCTCTCTTGTCATTTGAATACTGTGTAGTGAACTGAACTGTCATAGCTGGTCCAGTACTCTGGAGACTCGGTCTTGACACACCACACCAGAATAATATAGTATCATTATTTATGGAAGGTCCTGGAACAATTAAGCAATGGTTTAAGCTAAGGACTAGTTACATTCGACCAGAAAATATATCGTTTACGTGCTTCTAAAGAGCATATTCAAGAAGTACATCACATTGATGACACATGTCCGCTTTCATTCTGCATTTTAACACAAAACACATCTTATACATCACCAGAGCATGTGAATACACATTGTATTATGTACGAAAAAAAGGTACAAAAGCGGATAACGGATGCATTAATCTCATGGCATCTCTACGGCATCCTTGACCGAAGCACCAGTATGTATTATGCATCATTTTACTGAAATGAATCGGTTGTAGTAGAAGTCAGCAATGTAACGTAAATAGGCCAGGTTATACCAAGTATGGCTGTAGTCACTTACCATTGTAAGCTGTGACGCGGCTATATTTGCAGCTTAGGTAATCCCATGACTCCGTCTGTACATCCGAGTCAATGACGTCGATGCGCACCATCATTTGAGGTTTAGACGCCGTGATTACCCAAATACAGTCTAAATTGCTGCAACCAAGAACTGTCAAGTGAAACTTCATCCTTCACTCAGAATGCTAGACAAGGAAATATTGTTGCGTTCATATGATGGGCAACTAGAAAACTGTGACCCTGTTGTAGGTTAGTCATACATGTGATCGAGGTTTTCCGCTCACCAGTGTTCAACGTTGGAGACCCGAATGTTTCTCTCATCTCAAGCCAAAATGGGATGAAACTACTATAATTAGTCTAATTAGTCTTAAAACATTTGATACAGTTTTGTCCAGTTTACTTTTTTAGTCGTGTTTAACACCATTTTAATAAGTTTTAAAGCATTCCACTTACACGAAAACAGTTGATATGAAACAACCACCATTTTAACGTTTTGTCTAGCACTTGAACTTATTCTGAATGCATGTTGTGTAATTACGTACATGTAATGCATTCGCAAGAAAAATATTTAAAAAGTGTACCCTTACTTTTGAGACATCACAGGGTATCCTGGAGACTGGAGAAAGTTTGGATATGTAGTTGCATTGAGAAATCGTGGACCACAAACTTTAGTAGGAGGAGGAACCACTGAAACATTCAAGCATGTATTTCATGATTTGTAAGTATCAAGGTGATTCTTGTGGTCGAGATAAAATAGAATCCAAAATGAATACATCAAACGGTATAGTGACATTACCACAATAGTGCGTTCTACTTTCAAGTTTTTCGCAGCTTACAAACAAGGTTTTACCAAATGTCCCTTACAACTTCTAGCATTAAGGCACATACCTTTACGCGAAGTAGGAGACACACTGAGCCGGAAGCCCGTTCCGCTGGTATCACTGCCAGTTTTGAATACCAATGTCATAAAGAAACCATTTGAATAGTAGGGACCAACTGGTGACGTTGTTGAATTTCCACAAAATTCTCCGATTGTGTTTTCTAACCCGTTATACCCTAAGAGAGGCAAATAGAAATATGATGTAATGTTTCAATGACAAAGTATCAGATATATTCATAAAATCATTCCGACATGCCAGGCACACATTTCGCAAGCATATGTTCTTTATAAGGATAATATAAAATGAAATGAAAAAAATAACAAAACTAATGTATTGATGACGTAGCCGAAAGGTAAAGTTGCAAATCCCATATCATGCGTTTACGAACAAAAATGTATGCAACCCAATTACAGAAACGTCCCACTGGAACTGCCTCGACGTATTGCATTTCCATATTCCAATTGCCAGTTTTGTGCAATAGTTGATTGATTATATGTGGAATATTACTACATTGTGCACGTTTGGGCATTTCAGCTGATCTGAAACAGCCATTGGCTCTAGCATTGGGTTTACTTGCTGTCGGGGACATTCAATTTTGCTTACCAAACACATATTAGTTGAATACAAGTATAATATACTCAAGGGATCAACTAACTAACAAAGCATAACGGAAACGCTAAACGCCAATAAGCGTTCACATTTGTCACTGTATGACCTTGCCCTTGGAATCGAGTATTTACAAGCGTAGTTGTAGTCGTAGTCGCAGTCATACCGAAAGTAAAGTTAATGTTAGAAATACTGGCATGCAGAAGGTGGAGCGCCGATAAAGAAGCGGTCGTGGCCATGCTGTCCTTTGGATATTGCATCTGACACAGCTGAAGATTAGACCGTAGCCGTGTGATAGAAGATCAGTAACGTAAAAAAACGTCACAAAACGTGGGGTTATTTGTGAGAATGGGTGATGGCAAAGGTGGGAATTGTGGACTTTGGTGGACAATGATGGACACGTACTGAATTTGATCGGTATCACTCCACCTCCCGGTCCGTGATAAAAATACAACACATAGAAATGTGTTCTAAAGCAGTATGGCCAAAATATGTATGATGTAACATATATCACTTACCTCCATACAGAGTTACAGAGTCATTATCACACTGGGGGTAGTCGCCTTCTATATCTAAAGATAGCACGTCAAGCCTCATGTTCTGTGGTTCTGTTATTTTCCCCATCATTATGACACAGTTAAGATTGCTGTAAAAAGTTTGAGTCGCACAGTCTGACTTGCAAATTAAAACATCAAGCAATATTTAATGTTTAGCTGGTGATCTAGTGTCATGATTTTTAATATCACGGATACACAATGCCATGCATCACGTACCCGACGATCCGGTTTAGTCTTCAGCAACCCATGCTTGTCGTCAGAGGGGTGTCCTCACCTGAGAACTACATCCCATAAGAACTACAGCTTAAAACAACCCATGTTATGGCCAAGTGCACAGATTGACTCTTGCTGTCACCTGCGTCTGCATAATGGATTTGCCCAACAGAAAACAAATAAATATTATATATTTATATTAAATTGGCCACTGCATTATGCCTTACATATGAGAGAAACACAATACTATTTTAACTTAATAACTCATTCGTTTATAGTTCACCTTTACTCCAATATACCATTACCTTTACTCCAATATACTAAGCTTGGCTTATATACAAGAGGAAAACAATACTATTTTAACTTAATAACTCATTCGTTTATATTTCACCTTAACTCCAATATACCATTACCTTTACTCGAATGTACTAAGCTTGGCTTTTTTCTCTATTATATGAATACAAGAACATTCACAAACTACAATATACTCTTCTCGTCTTCAACCCTTCCGTGACTCATTAGATTACTTTTACTACAACATAAGGTACTGGTCAGTTAGACTGTAAGAAGCTATTCTACAGTTTTGATTTTAAGCATTTAGTTCTTCTGGGAGACCTGATGGGTTGTGCTCATTACATGTCATGGGGGTGCCTCTACTCAGATAATTGATCCCCAAATTAATCCCTGTAGTTAATTTGGGATGTAGTTCAAATGGGATGTAGTTCTTATGGGAGTAAACCGCCAGAGGCGACTGACGGTCAAGGTTGATCAGACACGCTGACTTCATTGTCACATGTCATCGTATCCCAACTGCGTAGATCGATGATCATGATGAAAATCACTGGATTGTCTAGTAAAGGCTCAATTATGTACAGGCCCCCACCATATAGCTGATGGAGCATGCTGATTAGTTTGCTTACCAAATTAGTGAACAAACATCCCTAAAGCGAATAGTTTATGACAAACACACCTGGGCAGGTGTCCAGTGTTGGGATGCAAATGTGACAAACATATTCTGTGAATTCAATCTTGAGTAGTGGATTATAACTCATTTGGGCACTTGAGGTGTTGCCACAACAAAACAGTACATTGTGTGAATTGCAAGATACCAACACTCTGTTACACCACTGAGCACATACTTAAGCAGTTTGTTGTCCGAACATATGTATCAAATATTAGCAACATAATTGACCAATAAATAAAAACAATTAGCTAACTGATGGCGTGATTGTTGCTCACCGATCAATAAACGTTAAATAACAATCAAAACAAACAATGAAGATACACATCTCCAGATAAAACATATATTGTAAATACATCCCGTTTTGTAAATATGAGTCACCAATTACTGTAATTTGAGATGGCAAGAACCATGATAATGAAACATGGACTTCGTGTTGGTATACCAAAATGCTCCGTATATGGCGATATTGGGCGGTGTGGTAGCCTAGTGGTTAAAGCGTTCGCTCGTCACGCCGAAGGCCCGGGTTCGATTCCCCACATGGGTAAAACTTGTGAAGCCCATTTCTGGTGTCCCCCGCCGTGATATTGCTGGAATATTGCTAAATACGGCGTAAAACCATGCTCAGCCAGCCAGCCGTATGGCGATATAGAGAACGTTATATACGAACTCACCTCAGATAGGAATCGGGGTATCCAGGTGACAGAATGTACACAGGTGTGTCGTATATGAAAAGAGTCCCATTGCAGTTGCCCTCTGTATAAAACATATGACAGTTGAATTATAATGACAAATCTCAACAGGTGGGCGTTGATATCAATTACATTATACTTAACATGGGCAGTGAGAGACAAGGGCACTGTAATTATCAGTTTGGAGAGTCTTCAGTCATTTATGTATCGTACTCTTTTTAATCGAACAAAAATTGACGGGCAAAGTTTGTTGAGCTATCAAATGTATTTGGGATATAATGCTTAATCAAGGCTTGTATTATTTTTATTTCAATATCAAGAGGTTGGGAGATTAGACGTATCAGATGACTTATTTATTTTGTCGACTAACCTGGCCAAGTTTTATTGTTAAGGATTTGGATTAATCATGATGTGAAATGTCAGATAAAATGAGATAAATAATATGTCAATGAATTATTGTCAAATGTTATATATACTGCACGTGTATTTTGTTTGAGTTTAGTCTAAAACAGCGTTTTATCACTTTTAAGATCAATATGAAAACTAAAAAATGACTTAATGAATCACGTCCCGTTTCAACTCTGAAAAAGCAGTTCTCCTTCCTGGATGTGATCAGTCTTCTTCGAGTGTATTGCATTGTGTGTAGCTAACTGTTATGCAACATTTTAGACAATTAACACATATGCATGCTGAAAGCAAAACATTAAAGCGATGTTAAGCTGAACACCAAATGATGGCCACGTATGGATAAGAACTGTAATTTAGATTACCTGGTCTCGCAGTATATTCCATCCTGAAGCCTTGCCTAGTTATGGAGCCATCAGTTGTAAACTCTATCAACAGTGAATCCTTTGAACTGTAATACGTAGGCGTGTTGGTTGAATTAAATGCCCCAAGATATTGCTCCTCTGAAGTACAATGGCAAATGGATAAGCAAATTCTTGTATGCCATGAATGGCTGATCATGGCAGTCTCAAATCTTCGATGTCAAGCGTTGCGGTTAATGATAATTATTGACGTTAAATATATTTGAAAGCTTGTGTCCTTTAATTTTGTTACTTTTCCGAGCATCTTTATGTTTGATATTAAACCATAAATGTATATGAAGATAAACAGTTATTCACTTTGCAAGTGTCTATTATATGATAGGCATTTGTTCTATTTATATAAGATGATTGATATGAAATTATTCTCAGCTGACAACGAGATTAATTGACCTTAACTGGACTTGCTTCATCCGACTACGTCGATGACTACACACATGCCTCTAAAACAACTGTTAGATACACCATTGATTGTATTTAGCACAACGTTGTCTCAGCGAAGTACGGATTCTAGTACTTTAGCGAGGGGAGGGAGTCGGGGGCGTCACATTTAATGGAACTGAATATTATTGTTGAAGTAATTTGTAAAGGAACGTACCTCCAGTTATGTTTCCGTTAAAAACACGAACCATATCGCCATCCCGCATATTCCAAGGTTCCGTATTTGGGTATATGTCTGAGCTCTTAGTTACTGCAGCAATAGTGTCATTTTCATTTTCAGCTGTTATAATCCATATGCACGTCAGATTACTGAAAAAGACGGAATATTCAGTATAGTCATGTTCCCTGCAAGCAAAAAAGGTTAACTATGGGAATTTATTGTCTGCATTTAAGACAGGGAACCCTTTTATTGGTTGTATGAAACACGGTACAAACTTGGGAGCACATCGACACCATGGGCGTATATTTCGTATTTCCAGCCAGAGGAAAGGCAGCTCAGACCAAGGCATCCAACTTGATACTTGATGTACGTTTTGCGAAATTCCACCGCGTTCTAAAAGAATGCTTTCATTTTCACGAAGGAAATGTTGTTGACATTTAGTTACTTGACTCATATTTGGCCTCGGGAAAGGTGTAGAGTAGCTTGCTAATATTCTCTAGATATTGACATATCCTGGTGACATACGGAAGAAATACTTGTCGCATATATTGTTCAGAAGAACTGTCTTGGGATGTCTGATCGGTAGATTGATCATGCTATATGTTACTTAGTTGACTGAATGTTGTTCACTAATGCATATTGTGTTGTGTGACGCTTTGTCACTTGCAACAATAACTTTCTCTTGCAAATGAACAACACACGCGGTGAGGTGAGGTGAAATTGGGTTTAACGTCGCGCTTGAGAATATTTCGCTCATATGACGACGTGAAGGCGTGTGTATGTGTAGGTGCGGCTGCTTGCACTAGCCCAGACTTAAGCTGGTTTTATAGTGCTAGCCCATTGAGATACCATGCCGCAGTGAAGCATGGATACCCCACTCAGACACATTATACTGACTCCGAGCCGCCCAGTCCTTGTTGTAACCATTAATGCCGAGCGCCAGGCTGGGACCAACAAGTACCATATTTTAACTTCTATTGGTATGACGCGGTCGGGGATCGAACCCGCTACAAACACGAGAGACATGAATTATGTGAAATTTGTACATATAGCAATTCTAACTGAGTGAATCTTTCTAATAACTATGTTACAAATGGATTTCATCTGGTGGGTGAATGAGATATTCAGCTTGCTCATTTTTTAAATTTCAACATCGACCGTTATTAATTTGAAAATATAGTTCCAACTGAATAATATCAATAATTTCGGTTTTCTAGAACTATCTGTGGAAACGAAACTTTGTCAGTAATCGGGAAGGCAAATGGTGAGGTCACCATGCTCCATAGGTGGCAGCCGTCACATGCAGAGACATTAATCATCTGAGGAGACACCTGAATATATGTTCTATGTTCCAAATTGGCATTGCCTCGGACATCGTTTTTATGAAATATAGTCACATGACTTGTCCCACCGGGTGCCTATTTTTTGCTGAGTGAACAGAGGCAGTTTTGAACAAACTTACTTGCCTAAGGTGAGACCACATGTAGCACATGGACTGAAGTTTTAGAAACTCTGAGGAGTCAACCTGCAACACACAGTCACCCATCCAAGAACAATCCGCACCCAACGTTGCTCTTCTTCAACTGAAGTTACTTCAGTAACAATGCCCCGTGGATCAAGGACTGACGATCTCGTTAGGTTTGACATGTGGAAGCGTGATGCATAACTCAAACCTTTCAAGTCTCAAATACTTTCCCAGACAGTAAAAGAAATGCTTGCCCTGGTTTGGTTACTATGGTCCTCCTGATTGGGTACGTAATTCCCAAAACATTTACAGTAAATTTAAGCTTACCATTTACGTTAGGTAAAACGTAGTATATTTGTGGTTTCACATGACAGCTAGAGTTCTCAGCAGCCGACCAGTTGCTGAAGGGATGATACATCTCCACCTAGGGTCCATGCAGGTAGCAAAAGTACTGTCATGAACCTTAATATGGTGATCTACCTTCAGTTGTTGACGATCTACAGCTAGTTTTAATTTCTTTTCCGTGATGTTCTAGTTGCTTGCACTTTCCTTTGTGGACAGGGTTTATAATTTAAATGTATGTATTATGTATTTAGTACTTGTTTTAGTCACGATATGGCGGAAATAATTCCGATGTGGCTCACTCACTCACACATCCTTGGCTGGGTTAAGGATTAGGAATATCTTTTGAGATAGGGATTTTATAGTTATATTTGCTAGAACAGGTAATTTATCTCTCTGGGTTTTTTGGGCAATCAAACTTTCTGGATGTGCCAGGGGGTGCTGTACACTTGGCATGACGTCTTTGTACTTACACAACATAGACAATTGTATGTAGATGGATGAGTGGATGGATGGACGGAAGGATGGATGGATGGATGGATGGATGGATGGATAAGAACGAACTGACTTACTTGAAGTAGGTGTACGGATACCCAGGGGAAGTGAGGTTCAGTGAATCTGATGTGGCTGTTAACCTTCCACCGCATTCTGCAAATGTTTAATTCTTTGATGTGAAAATAGGTACCTGTGACTAAATTGCCGAAAAAAACACTCTATACAATGACCTATCATGTTAAAGTTTGTATACGGTTTGCAAATATCGATGGTGGTATATTAAGCCACTATTGCTGACAGACCAAGACCCCTGTCCACAAAACAATCTTAACTCTGCGATGACCAATGTTAAAGAATGGGAGATACGATCCCTTTAGCACTGAGATTTGATAGGTGTTTAGAAGTGTAATCCATGGCCATTTGAGGCATTGAATGAAATTATACTATAAGAAGATAGCTTATCTTCATTGATGTAACCTGGCGAATAGGTACGGCTGAAGATATATTATTCCATGATTATTTGACTGTTATATTGCTCTGTTATACTCGTGTCCTTACGTTCAACGTCGATGACTATGAGGGAAAATCCTATTCCATTAGAGACAGCACCGGAAGCAAACTCTATGAACATGGTGTCATCGCTGCTTAAGACGCTGCTTTCTTTTGCTTCAATGCCACACAGTTGTAACAGTAGTCCACCCGAAGTATCTGATCCTGCTCATAAAAGTCCAGTGTATTGAAGAAAACATTTATAAACAGTCATAAAAAGTTATACCCTGACGCACACATGCACACACAGTAATTGGCATACACACTCACACGCAGACAGTAAAACCTTATTTCGTAAAACGTTTTTAACTAAACATCTTTTCATGTACATGGTTGATGTCCTTTCGCAGTATTCAACATCGTATAAACATAGGCATTAAAAGCTTCTTGCGAGTTGATCTTTATGCATATTATAAAAACGCAGCTTTTTGGGAACGTGTGAAAAATTTCGACTGTCAATAGGAACAGTGAACTCCATTGTTTGACTCCTTAAGTATGTACATTCAGCGACAGTGGTACATTTTGTACCTGTTGGGCAGCTTTACAGGGTTATGTCTCTTCAGCATAGGTGATTTTGAGAATATTGGACTCTTGTAGCTGCGGTAAATACAATACAAACACAGTATTTTTGTCAAAAACGTCATCTTTGTGTCATTGTAAAGAGTTTCAGGGACAAAACGCGGGAATTTTAACTTTCCCCCTTCTTTAAGAAGCTTTTGAAGAAATATTCGCCAAAACGTCACCAAGAAAACATGCAAAGTATCGATCACTATAAAAAGGAATATGTTGTGTTTAATTTTGTCATTCGTTTTGGGTTGAAAAATAGGAAATCATCATGCCACAACTGAGTGCCGCCGGTCGAAACATCGGCATAGGCCGCCTTGAAGCTGGGGAGTCGCTGTCCGCAGTTGCCCGACATTTCTCGCCTTTGGGTTTGTTTCCTGCAGACCAATTCCGCCTTAGATCGCCCTGGAAGCGGCCGTACAAGTGTTACCACCAAATCCCAGCACCGCTACATCCGGGTTGCTCAATTGCGTCACCGTCTTCCCACAGCCGTGGAGACTACACAACGCTTCTCTGTTTTGAAATAGTTCCATCGGTGCAATCGCTTGCGGTGGTGTTGTAAATTCCGGAACTGGAATCTTAAAAAACTTGAGGCGAGTTTGGTTCAGTGATTAATCACTGATTTCTTCTTCACCGGTGAGATGGAAGACAGCGTGTTTTGCCCCCATATGGCATTCGACAGGTCGACAGATTCGGTGGAGACAATGTCATGGTGTGGCGTACGATATCCAGCGCACAAAGATTTGATTTAGTGGTGGTTCAGGGGAAAGCTAATCGGTACATAAACGAAGTCCTTGCACGTCACATGCTTCCGATTATGGGCCGACAGAGGAAGTTGTTCCAGCATGATAACGCTACTTCACATACAGCATGTGTTACCTTGCCAATTCTAACGTAAGTGTCTTCCCATGGCCTCCCCAATCACCAGATCTAAACCCGAAAAAACACCTATTGGATGAACTCGGTCGACGAGTACGTCAACGTCAAAACTGGCCTCTTCCACAACATTGCCGGAAGAGAAGGAAAGAATTCCGCAAGAGCGACTTCGTCGACTTATCCAGTCTGTGGCGAGACGGCGCCGAGCAATAATTGCTGCCAATCGTGGCCATACAAAGAGCTGATCTTGACGCCATCTCGTGGACTCAAGTAAACAGAAACACAGCTGTTGTGTTGGCAAACTCCTTGTCTATAAACGTGTGAATTGTCACCTCTTTGCCTTTGAAATTACCTGAAATAATTGCTCTTAAACTTGCGCAATGAGTTGTCTAAAATGGCTCATGCGTTTCCTTTCTTGAAGAGTATATTTGTCAATATGCCTCTTACCATCATAGAAGGACAAACTGGCTCCCTGGCACTTTCCCGACTCTTCTAATTGAAAGGATGCAATATAAACGCCCACAAGATGATCCTTTGAAGATGCACGTATCTTCCATCCGCAGGTGACATTACTGGAAAGAACAATGTGAACAAAGTTACTATTCATAATAATGTTCAGGATTATTTTTTAAGCTATTTCTAAATTTAACGCATGGTTGTAATGGTAAAGAGATAATAACAGCTTGGTTCATGTTATGTGTTTTATAGCGGGTGCTACCTGTTGACAAAACATGCTAAAGTGGTTTTAAGGAAAACCTAGATTCAACACTATTTTCAGTGATCCATTAATGTAACTTTCACTCTTGTTCTGTCTCAAAGGAAGATAGTTTTCTGATGTTGACGTTTTATGTGTCACTGTTCATATCCAGTTGTTCCTGTTGTTAAATTATGCCTGTTTAACCATCTCTTACTTACACTTTGTAGAAAAGTAAGTAATCTTGTATAAAATTATATTGGTTCAAAGACTGCGAATGTTGAAAATTTGTGCCGACAAAGACAACATTAATGATTTTCAAAAATTAAGAATACCCGTCAACAGTTGTGTTTTATGCGAGTCTGTGTTATGAGTCTTTTACATATCGAAAGGTTCAAATTGAATTATGTTTTTAATAATATATTAACCGTCGAGACGTATATCTTGAGCTCTGACTAAGAGCAAGCAAAGGTCATTTCGTTTTACATAATTATCCCTAAGCTAAGATATGTTCAACTGAAAATAAACGTTTAACATTTGATATAATCACGTGACAGCTAGTGTTTCATCTGCCCTTCTGCTGAGTAGATACTTACGGGCCGTAGGGCTGCGGGAATCCTGGAGATGTTACGTTTTGCACACCATTATTTGAAAGTAGTATGTCTTTGAAACATGCACCTGTAAAAAGATTTAAATACCACATATAAACAAAGATTAACTGTCATGATTTTAAGCTGAGTGAATAGCATTTAACGTCCTCATGTAGGGTCACTGGATATATGGGTAATATTACCATATACCCGGATATTATAGACAATGTGTGCACGGAATTGAAGCTGCCTCAATTAGTCGAGACCCGATCGATCTTGCTAGCTTGTACGAATAACATTGTTGTGTTTCCTGGTCTGTCTGCATCACACACATGGTAACTGAAGGGTATGTCCGTGGTGCTAAAAGACAATGAGTCATGAGCACTACGACTCTCGGACTCGATGCCAAAACTGCTGGATTCTTGGACGGTTAAGGACAATGAACAATGTGGTGCCTCGTAACCTTAGAGGTAACACTGAAAATGTATGTTGATATTGATCAACTTATCTAATTGGACATAATATGTTAAGGCCATTAGATATTAAAAAGCATGAAAGTCTCAGGGTCTTTACTTTTCCCCTCACTCAAATATGAATTTTGGAATGTTGTTAAAACCAGTGGGTTCTAATTGTGCTCATGGATTGAGTGATGTCGCGCATGAACAACGCCAGGAACGATGTTGAGAAGCAATGTGATGACAACGATGCTGGGATGATACGATTTTGCAAAACCAGGAATAGTGCCACGATAAACGATTTTGCGATGGATTGCAATGATGATGTTGCGATGAGGTGAAACGATGTATACAACGCATCAAATGCACCAAACAAAAGTATCGCTCTCCAAATCCCCGGATTACGAACTGAGACCTGTGATAGCAAACGTTGTTATGGTCAAACTGAATATTTGTCTGTCTACATCCACACATTATATCTACTGTGTTCCAGATCCCTAACTACAAGTCATCCTCGTCATTCACAAGCTAAAGACATGAACTTACCTGTATGCGCCGTTAGCCCGTAAGACAAGACACATAGGAGTACAGCTGAGGTTATTACTAACTTCATTGTGTGTCTCCAAAACAGCTAGGCCCAGTGAACCAAGCTGCTGTACTGTTATATCGTTGTGATTGCGCAATCCCGACTTGAAGATATAAGCGATTGCGTTTTCGCGATGCGTTCGTGCAATGAAAACAGAAATGCGAGAGTTTTGTTTGCTTTTATTCTTCCAAATAATTATGCATGTACATCACTATCTATTCATTTATGTCTAGCCGTTTTCCAGTCTCATTACAATAATGTTAGAAGTTACATCCAAAACGTAATATGTTTTCACAAGATCGTCGAAAACACTGTTCTCAACATTCTTAATGATTGGTAACGACTGTCCTGATTATGAATAATCATTCACTCCTGAAGACTGAGTAGGTGAGTGAGTTCATGTGTGGGCCTGGAATGTCACCCACATTATCAGTGAATACCACACCAGTGGTTTAGGATGGTAAATGTCCTGTATTAAGTGAGTGAGTGGGTTTAGCTTTACCCCACCCTCAGCAATATTCCAACTATATGGCGAGTCTATAAATAATCGAGTCTGGACCACACAATCCAGTGAACAACATCATGAGCATCGATCTGCGCAACCGATAACATGTGTAAAACAGCCTGACCACCTGATCCCTTTAGTCGCCTCTTTCGACAAACATGGGTGATTGAAGATCAATTTTAACCCGGACCTTCACGGGTCTCCTGTAATAAGACAAAGCATGGTATTTATTGAGTTTTGGCGAGATCTGTCTAATCTAATGCAACCACTGCATACCATTTCACCCTATGATATTTGATCGTTTGAATAAGCAGCTTTTAATCGGTAAACGTTTAACATTTTATATTACTGGTAGAAACATCCTTACGTCCCGGCAGATTTCCTTAAGTTTGAATCTGAATGGGACAAGACGGCGGTCCCTAACACAAATATTCAACAAAATATAGTCCCAAAATATTCTTCGTTAATGTGCTGTGCTCAAATCAACGACTGACTGGTCATTGTGCTGTGAAAACGAACCGAGTAGGTAACCGTTTCATCTTGTGAAAATGTTCACTGAAGATTCTCCAGTATATATTTTCCACTCTGGCACTAACAAGCCGACATACATATGGTGTCGGTTGGAGAGATGAGACAAAACTGTTGACAAAATGATCAAATAACGTTTTCCCACAAACTTCGCGTGTATTCTTAACTTAACCTTTTTGCAAAGCTAGTAGAAATGTCATCAAGAACAGTCCCATGTTCCCGACGGAATCCGTTAAGTTTGAAACTGAGTCTGACTGACTGGCCATTGTACTGTAAACACAAACAAAATATGTAATCGTTTCTATTGCAACTATGTATCCTTACACGAAACAATATACGACCCAAAGGTGACATGTAATACGAATGTACATGCCATTCCCTAATCATATGCCAGTGATCAGGGACCAAGGTTCGAAGGTATAGATTGCAAGTGAGACGAGATAACATGTGAATAACATATCTCTTACAGATACAAACTGACACTGACTAAAATTCGTGAACAATCTGACATGTGCGTAGTTTATGCTCTTAACTGTCACGTCATTTCAAGTGTATGGAAGCGTATCAGTGACACAATAAATTGACATCTATCTTGATGGTATTACATCTACATGGAAGCTACTTTACACAGTGTAGATGACACTTTTTAAATGATATTATAATCTACTTAGTAGAAGTTATTATCTGCTTGAGACATATTTTCTTGCGTTGCCGACAACAGGTTTGTTTTATGTAGCTTTTGGCTAAATTGACCGATTTCAACCTTGATATGCCTTTACAAAGGAACTATCAGAACATTCCAGGATAGGAAGACTGACAACATCGCGGTATCAGTATTTCAAGGATATGCACGATTATGATATTACATGTGAAGATGAAAGTGTCCTCTCTGTTTAGTGAACGTATATGTAAGTAAACACCCAATTCAATTATGGTTAAGTATTTGTGATTAAGCTTTAACATCTGCAAAATTGCTCTGTTGAGTTTATTTGCTCTTTATCATATATTGTACTCATAGAGCTAACATTTCGGATTCAAATAATGCTGTGAGTTATTTTCCAATGCACAAACAGTGGACAACACGAGCGATTGTGGAATTGCAAATCTAAGAGCATTTTCAGCAGAAATATCTCAAATCTCCTGGCTATCCATCTCATTCTCCTTCAGTACCAGTCACATGATAGACCGGGAGAGCGGGAGACGGGACAAGAAACCCTGTGTTTGAGCCCAGGGGATGCAAATTCCAATCATGGGGGAAATGATAGTTTCAAAGGAAACTACCCCAATATCAGATAATGAAAGCGCTAGTGACAATGTGACTCCCGTAGGGGGCACTGATCATTCCGGTTCCACGAATGGAGACCATGAGAAGGTGAAGAACTTTTAACAAAAGGGCTGAAGAAATTTGAAGAAAACCAAATGGCTGTGATTAGCAAAGTATTGGATAAAGTGACAGAACTAGAAAGTTATGTCTTCTATGATCAAGATTCTGATCCGTGTATAGACGCTAACCGTGCCACTGTTCGCTCGTTAGAGGGGGATGCCCCAGGGGAGGCGGGGAGCCCGTCGCGGGGCCGAGCCACGCTTAACAGGCTGCTTGCGAGCGGCCAGCAGAGACTGACAGAGTTACCCCTTGATTCAAACGTGGCGGCGCCCAGTGAAATCAAATTTTATATTTCTAAGCAGCTTGCAAGTTCCTTTAAATTGAGTGAGTGAGTGAGTTAATATTTAACGTCACATCGGCAATATTTCAGCCATATCGTGACGAGAACATTTTACATTGAAATGGAATATGTATATATTATAAAACCTGTCATCGAAGGACAGTAAAGCAACTAGAGTATCACAGATATATATGTAAAACTAGTCATTGAATCTAAAACATTTTAACCATAGGGGACAACACAATCTTAAAATGGGCTATAGATCGCTAACAACTGAAGGTAGATCACCATACTAGGGACCATGGGGACTTACAGTACATTTGCTTCCTGCATGGGCCCTAGCTGGATTTATATCATCTCCTCAGCCGTTAGCAATTAAGACATATCTAGCCATACATCAAAATTACAAATATTCTACGATTAAAAAACGGAAAGTTGAAATTTACTTTGAATGTTTTGGGACTTACGTACCCTCTCAGGAGGACAATAATTTTACAGTACTTTAACCCCCCTCGAGGATACAGCCACTAACAATCTATGTTACTAATTCAAACTTCCAATCATAAAATATTTAGCTATTTACAAATCTGTTAACAAATTTAATTCTTTTAAAAAAGCAATAATTAAATGAGGACTTATATTAGTAAAAAGATCATTCATAGTTCGGGATTTGAAATACTTATCCCTTGTGATGGAATATTCAACACAGTCAAGCAGGACATGCTTGACCGTGATTCGTTCATCACAAGGGATACAAAACGGAGGATCCTCACCTTTCAATAGGTACTCATGAGTATATCTTGTGTGGCCAATACGACATCGTCGTATGATGACCTCTTCAAATCTGGACTGACAACCCAAGTAGGTGTAACCGATAGTTGGTTTGATTGCATGTAATTTATTGATACCTACTTGGGCATCCCACTTCTTTTGCATCAGATCGCGGATGTATGTTCTAATGCTGGCTTTATAATCAGAGTAGGGGATCAGAAGTGGTGTCACAGATTTGTTGAGTGCTGCCTTGGCAGCAAAATCGGCCATTATATTCCCAGAAATGCCAACGTGGCTGGGTAACCAACAGAGGACGATGTCGTATTGACCAGTTGCAAGATCATTATATAATTCTATAATTTCTATTAAAAGTGGATGTTTACAAGAAATATTTTTAATGGCCTGAAGGCAAGAAAGAGAGTCTGAAAATATGATATATTGTTTATATTTAGGGTGTCTATTTATATATTTAAGAGCTGTTAGTATTGCGTTTGCTTCTGCTGTGAAAATTGAACTGTCATTGGGTAATCTGGAAGAGATTGTTTTGGACCCAATGACAGTGGCACAAGCAACCGCGCCACCATCCTTGGACCCATCTGTAAATAAGGATTTATATGTATTATATGTACTTTTTAATTGATTATATTCTTGTTTATTTATATAGTAAGTCATTAGTTTCTGATTTTTTAAATTTAGTGAGTGTTAGGTCGACTTGTGGCCTAACCAATTATAAGGAGGAGAAGAAAGAAGACGGGCAGGAGCTACATTTTCCAGCTCAATGCCGGCAGCAGAAATGAAAGGCTTAATTCTGTGCCCAAGAGGCGGAACAAGAGAAGGTTTTTTGTTGTATAAATCCTCATAGAGGGGATTAAAGACACAGTTAAATGCAGGGTTAGACTCGTTAGAATATAGTTTAGTAAGGTACTGTAAGGATAATTTTATCCGACGTTGTGTAAGAGAAGGCTCATCAGCTTCAACATAGAGACTATCAATAGGAGAGGTTCTAAAGGACCCAAGACAAAGTCTTAGGCCTTGGTGGTGGACAGAATCAAGTAATTTTAGGTTGCTTTTGCAGGCTCCACCATATACGATGGAGCCATAATCAAGTTTCGAGCGGACCAATGATCGATACAGGTGGAGGAGGGTAGCTTGATCCCCTCCCCACTTAGAGTTGGAAACAAATTTCAACAAATCGAGTGCCTTCAGGCATTTGGCTTTAAGTGATTTAATATGTGGCAAAAAAGTTAAATGGGAGTCGAAAATTAGACCCAAGAATTTGGCCTCCTTAACAACTTTGATGGGAGTGCCATTTAAAGACAGTTCTGGATCTGTATGCGGTTTATATTTTCTACAAAAGTGTAGACAATTAGTTTTGGATTTGGAAAATTTAAAACCGTTTTCAAGACACCATTTATTTATTTTATTTAAACACAACTGCAATTGCCGTTCAATGGTATGCATATTTTTACCACGACAAGAAATATTAAAATCATCCACAAAAAGTGATCCGTCAATGGAATCGTTTAAAACCTTGGATAAACTGTTAATCTTGATACTAAATAAAGTGACGGACAAAATACTGTCTTGAGGGACACCCTGATCCTGATTGTAATGATCAGACA